GCCCAAGAGTTTGAGGTTGCTGTGAGCTGTGATGCCACAGCACTCTACCAAGGGCTACAAAGCGAGTCTCTGTCTCAAAAAAAAAAAAAAAAAAACCACAAAAGTAAACAAAAAAAGGTAGAAACAATCCAATGTCAATAGATGGAAAGATGGACAGACAAAACATAGCAAATACACACAACAGAACATACACCCTTGAAAAGGGAAAAGTCAGATACATGCTCCAATGTGGACAGAACTTGAAGATGTTTTGCTAAGTGAAAAAAGTCACAGAAGATCTAACAATGGATGATTCCACTTATATGAAGTACCCAGAGCAGTCAAATTCATACAAACAGATAAAACAGTAGTTACCAAGAGATATGGGAGGGGGAAATAGGTAAGCAGCATTAATGGGTATGGAGTTTCAGTTTGGAAAAACCATGAAGTGCTGGAGAAGGATGGTGGTGCTGTCTGCACAACAATGTGAATGTATTTAAAGACATCAAACTGTACTTAACATGTGAGGAAGGATAATGGAGGAGGTTAAAGGTTTGGGGTTCTCAGAGGAGGTGGAGAGGATCCACTTTCCCAAGTATACCCAATCTCTAGTAATTCCAAGAGCCAGGACTAGGTAGACACAGGTCCTGTATTTTACATATATTCACATTACCAAAGAACAAGAAGCGGGAAAACCCAGTCATCATGTGCCAGTTTACATCATGGCTGCCCCCACATTCCCAGATCTCACCTTGAGTGCCAGCTGAAACTCCAGGAGTTTGGTGTAGCAGGCAGCTCGATTGCTGTACAATTTGGCATCTCGTGGGTTCCTTTTAATGGCTTCTGTATAATGCTTCATGGCCTGGGGATAGTCCCCTGGGTAAGGAAAACAAAGACTATTTTTTTAAAGGCAAAAATTCCCCATCTCCTAGCAGGCTCTATTTTCCCTACAGTCAGGAACAAGAACCCCTCCCCCCAATCCAACGAGCTCCCTGCAGTACCTTTCTGAAAACATTCATTGCCTTTGTTCTTCTCCTCCAAGGCCAAGTCAGGGTTTATGTAGGCCAGCCGCTCTTGCTCCTTCAGGATTTTCTCTGCCTAAGGTAAATAATTCTTGGAATTGTAATTTAAACTCCCATGAACATCTAAATACTGGGCTAAAAACCTAGATTAGGATTTCAATTCTTAAAGAGTACTGCTATCAAGGAGTAATATGTCACTTTGTAAAAAAAACAAGAAAAAATGTTAGGCTGGTAACAGTGGCTCACACCTGTAATCCTGGCACTCTGGGAGGTCAAAGCGGGTGGACTGCTTGAACTCAAGAGTCTGAGACAAGAGACAAGCCTGACCAAGAGTGAGTCTTTAGCAGAGCTCACTAAAAGCAGAAAAACTAGGCTGGTGTCATGGTGGGTGCCTATAGTCCCAGCTCCTCAGAGACTAAGGCCAGAGGATCTCTTGAACTCAAGAGTTAGAGGTTGCTGTGAGATACAATGCCACAGCACTCTACCCAGGGCAACAGAGACTCTTGTTTCAAAAAAAAACAAACATCCAAGAAAAAAGTTAAGTTACAGTAAGAATTTTAACACTGCTAATGCACTAATCCTCTCAATATTAACACATTCAAGGTTAAAGTCTTGGCTAATGAAAATAAGATCTACAATAAAGCTGGATCATTTTCTACATGTTGTCAACATTAAAAGACAAGAGGCTGGACACAGTGGCTGATGCCTATGATCCCAGCACTCTGGGAGGCCCAGGCAGGAGGATCACATGAGCCCAAGCATTTTTTTTTTTTTAAAGAGATAGAGTCTTTCTTGCCCTTAGTAGGGTGCTATGGCAACACAGCTCACAGGAACGTCCAGCTCCTGGGCTTAGGTGATTCTCCTGCCTCAGCCTCCCAAGCAGCTGGAACTACAGGCACCCGACACAATACCTGGCTATTTTTTTGTTGCAGTTTGGCTGGGGGTGGGTTTGAACGTGCCAACCTCAGTATATGGGGCCAGCGCCCTACTCACTGAGCCACAGGCACTGCCCGAGCCTAGGAATTTAAAACCAGCATTGCCAACAGTGAGAACCCAGCTCTACAAAAAAAAAAAAAGAAAAGAAAAGAAAAGAAAAATTAGCAAGGCATGGCAGTGCAGAGTTGTAGTTCCAGCTACTCGCGACTCTGAGGGAGGAAGATTGTTTGAGCCCAGGAGATTGAGGTTGCAGTGAGCTGTGATGATGCCACTGTACCCCAACCTAGGCAACAGAGACCCCCTCTCAAAATAATAAAAATGGTAGAATCACATGAGATGGCCAAATCTACTACCTAGAAAAATTTAAAGATCATTGTTAAATAATGATTTCAGTTAAGATTACAATAAAGAATAAAATATTAAGTAGTGATACTCAATTTCTAAGAAACAACGAAACACTCTCTTTTTTCCTACCCACCTGCTGGCATTTCTTGAGCACATCTGGGGTTCGGTGCTCTGCCAGAGACTTGTTATAGAAGTGGATGGCGTCCTTGTACTTTTCTTCTTTGAAGTAGGAGTTGCCAATTCTGGCATAAGCTCTGTAACGACAAGAGGGAAGACCACTGGCTGAGGACAGACCCAGAGACAAGATCAGAGCCTGTATAGAAATACATCTGAGGCGGCATCTGTGGCTCAAAGGAATAGGGTGCTGATCCCATATGCCAGAGGTGGTGGGTTCAAGCCCAGCCCCGGCCCCCCTCCCACCAAAAAAAAGAATAGAAAATGCATCTGCAACTAAAAACAAGGCCCACATCACTGTCTGGGCACTGTGCCCTTTTAATATTTTTTGTCTGGTCTCCTGTGACCTCCTTTGCAGTCCCTTCTTAGCACAAAGGGCTGTATACACAGCACCCCTCTTCCCTGAGCAGGAAAATTTAAGCCTTGGACAACAAACCCTTCGTGCTACTCAAGGCATTCAGGAAGGTCACTCGTACTTGGCAATCTGTCGGTAGTCTTCTCGGTTTTCTCTCCCCACTTCAATGGCCTTCTCACAAAGCTCCCGGCATTTATTGTAGTCACCCTTCTCAAAGTACACCGCTGCAAGGCAGGATGGTCAAGGAGGAACAGTAAGTCCCTGCTTTTTCCTTTAACGATTCCCTTGCCCCTTGTTTTCTAACCTCACCTGCTTGGTTAGTAATGTACGTCATGTTAGTGGGGTCCAGTTCCTTGGCTCTGTCGTAATGCTTCAAGGCTGTATCAAAGTCTTTCTTCTTGTAGGCATCATTCCCGAACTCTTTTTCCTTCAGTGCCTGGACAAGGTTTGAAAGAAGTGAATACTAAGCAAATCAGTAAAGACAAAAAATACTAAGCAAAGACAGTAAAGCAAGGTCTCCAAATCCAAAAGCTTCATCAATCAGCTATAGACTTAAAACAGTTAAGAATTTTTTGCTTCCTCTGAAAACTTCCCTCTCCTGTATCCCTGTCAGAAAGCAGAAGATTTCTTTAGGGGAGAGGGAGAAGAAACCCCTTTAAATTGAAGAAACTTGTAGGGATAGTATAGTTCTGGACCAGGTTTTATTCTTAGAGGCTGCAGCAAATTTAGTTTCTGAAATGTGGCTTTCTCAGTATCTTCTTAGTTATTAGAGAATAATGGCAGAGGAGTGGTGAGAGGAAGAGAAGAGGCTGTAGTGGAGGCAGGAGTCTTTAGCAGGGCTCACTACCACCCACACTATAGGGCCTTTTTCCAGTTTTGAGACACCCTAATGCTCATCCGCTCATTTAAAGGTGCTAAATTTGGCAACAATCTGTTGTTCCCATTTATAAGAAAGGAAATACAGTTGTTCAGGCATATGCCTCCTACTTTGGAACAACATTGCTAAACTGACAACTTTCAACTATGCATCAGTCCAGTCAGGAGGCAGAAGCCCAAAGACTGATGGAGACTACGTTCTTCTGGATCACGAGAGGACATGAGCTTTACTGTCTTGTCCTAACCAGTACCCTCGCTGGCAGCAATAGAAGGATAGAGGTCCTGCTACAAGAAGTTTTTGAAATATATCACTTCTAAGAAATCTTCCGTGAACTTAGTCTTTTGACATATTGTTATGGCTCGGTGCCTGTAGCACAGTGGTTATGGCGCCGGCCAAGTACACCAAGGCTGGCGGGTTCGAACCCAGGCCAGCCAGCTAAACAACAATGACAAGTGCAACAACAACAGCAAAAAAAAGGAGGTGGGTTGGGTGGCGCCTATGGCTTAGTGAGTAGGGCGTAGGCCCCCATATACTGAGGGTGGCAGGTTCGAACCTGGCCCCGGCCAAACTTCAACAACAACAACAACAACAACAACAACAACAAAATAGCTGGGCGTTGTGGCAGGCACCTATAGTCCCAGCTACTTGGGAGACTGAGGCAAGAGAATCGCTTAAGCCCAAGAGTTTGAGGTTGCTGTGAGCTGTGACACCACAGCACTCTATCAAGGGCGACACAGTAGACTATCTCAAAAACAAACAAAAAACATATTGCTAATTAGTAATAGCAAGAAGCTTAGGATGTACTAAGCACTCAAAAATTATGGCCCTCCAAAGTCTACAGATCTTCTCATTCAACATACAAATTTTTAGTTTCCATGGTTATGTATAAATACACAAAAAAGAGGAGAACAGAAAATGAGACCTGCTTCTTATTCTCTGGAAGATCTTCTTCCATTGGCTCTGGCTTGGTCTCCTTTTTCGGAGGGGGAGGTGGTGGTGGTGTGGCGACCTCTTCCTCCTCATCCATGCTGCCCAGATCAACTCCGAGGAGGACACTGAGAGTGGTCATGATGCGGGGATCTTGTAGTTTCCTAGATTTTTTTTTAAAAGGAAAAAAAATACAAAAACAAAAACAGCAATTATTCTTCCTCACAACTGATCTTAAACTCTCATTTATGGCCAGGAGCAGTGGCTCACACCTATATGCCTACCACTTTAAGAGGCTGAGGCAAGAGGATGGCTTGAGGCCAGAAGTTTGAAACCAACACAGGCAATAGCGAGATCCCATCTCAATTTTTTTGAGACAGAGCCTCAAGCTGTCCCCCTGGGTAGAGTGCCGTGGAATCACAGCTCACAGCAACCTCCAACTCCTGGGCTCAAGCGAGTCTCCTGCCTCAGCCTCCCAAGTAGCTGGGAAGACAGGCGTCCACCACAACGCCCAGCTATTTTTTTTTTTGGTTGCAGCCTTCATCGTTGTTTGGCAGGCCCGGGCTGGATTCAAACCCGCCACCTTAGGTGTATGTGGCTGGTGCCTTAGCCACTTGAGCCACAGGTGCCAAGCCCCATCTCAATTGTATTTAGGAAGAACAAATAGAAAGTTTAGAGCACTTTTAAAGAGAACAGGAGGTGGGTCCCTTTCATCAAGGAACAGTGGTTGAGAGACCTCTACAAAAATTTTAAGAAACAAAAGAATTGGCTTGGCGCCCGTAGCTCAAGTAGCTAAGGTGCCAGCCACATACACCAGACTGGTGGGTTCAAATCCAGCCTGGGCCTGCCAAAATAACAATGACAACTACAACCAAAAAATAGCTGGGCATTGTGGCAGGTGTCTATAGTCCCAGCTACTCAGGAGGCTGAGGCAAGATAATCGCTTAAGGCCAAGAGTTGGAGGTTGCTGTAAGCTGTGATGCTACCACACTCTACCCAGGGTGACAGCTTGAGGCTCTGTTTCAAAAAAAAAAAAAAAAAAAATTTTTTTTTTTGAAATTAGGTGGGCGTGGCAGCATGTACCTGTAGTGTCAGATACTAGGGAGGCTGAGACAGGACAGTGTGAGCCCAGGAGATAGAGGAAAAGACTAACAAAACAAAACAAATAGGCAAAGTGGATTGCTTGAGCTCATGAATTTGCGGTTAGTCTGATTAAGACCCCATCTCTAGGCTCGGCGCCTATAGCTCAACCGGCTAAGGCACCAGCCACGTACACCTAAGGTGGTGGGTTCGAATCCCCAGCCCGGACCCGCCAAAACAACAATGACAGCTGCAACCAAAAAATAGCCGGGCGTTGTGGCGGGCGCCTGTGGTCCCAGCTACTTGGGAGGCTGAGGCAGGAGACTCGCTTGAGCCCAGGAGTTGGAGGTTGCTGTGAGCAGTGAAGCCATGGCACTCTACCCAGGGGGATGGCTTGAGGCTCCGTCAAAAAAAAAAAAAAAAGACCCCATCTCTATTAAATATAGATAAACTACCTGGGTGTCGTGGCAAACACCTGTAGTCTCAGCTACTTGGAGGCTGAGGCAAGAGGACTGCTTGAGCTCAAGAGACTGAAGTTGCTGCAAGCTATGATGATACTACAGCACTCAACACAGTGTGACAAAGTGAGACTCTGTCTCAAACAAACAAAACTCAAAATACCCCCCCTCCTGCTGCTCTTTATTGCTACAGGTCAAATTCTTGTATATAGAAGCTCCTCAACCACCAGAAGATGGCTAGATTCTACACTGCCCATGAGTTATATAGCTGGGAATAAACAAACCTTCAAGAGTCCATATAAAATGAAGTCATAGGGCAACACCTGTGGTTCAGTGAATAGGGTGCCGGCCCCATATACCAAGGGCGGTGGGTCTGAACCCAGCCCCACTCAAACTGCAAAAAAAAAAATAGCCGGCCGTTGTAGAGGGCACCTGTAGTCCCAGATACTTGGGAGGCTGAGGCAAGAGCATCGCTTAAGCCCAAAAGCTGGAGGTTGCTGTGAGCTGTGTGACACCACGGCACTCTACCAAGGGCAACAAAGTGAGACTCTGTCTCTTAAAAAAATAATAAAAAATAAAATGAAGTCACACAGACTTCAAAGTCAAATTCATTCCTGGAGCCCGGCAGATATACAGAGGACTAAGTTATTATAAGTATGCATCCAAATCTGATCTTAAGAGCCAAAGAATTCAGATAAAACAGATACTAGCACCAGATTTACAGATAGGTCTTTATACATCTGATGTTCTTTTTAACCCAATTTTCACTCCCAGGTATTCACAGAAACAGTAGGGCCTATGAGGATGGAAAGAAGGGGACCGAAATGCAAATAGCACAGTGGCTCACACCTATAATCCCACTAGTTGTGAGGGCAAGGTAGAAGAACTGCTTGAGGACAGTTTTAAGACTAGCCTGGGTAACAATGTCAGATTACATCTCTTAAAAAATGGGGAGGGTGGGGCAGTGCCTGTGGCTCAAAGGAGTAGGGCACTGGCCCCATATGCTGGAGGTGGTGGGTTCAAACCCAGCCCCAGCCAAAAACTGCAAATAAATAGGGAAGGAAAAAATACATATGTAGATACACACATACACTATATGCACTAACATACAATTTCCAACTGGTCTTTAGAGGAAAAGCAAACGCAGAATCTAGATCATGAAACCCTTACTTTCTACCAAAGGGGGGAACACAGGGTAAGATTCCTGCCAATTTCTTTCTTTTTTTTTTTTTT